AAAAAAAAAAAAAAAAAAAAATTATTATGGTTATAAATTATTTCCAACAACAAAGGCATAACGAATACTTACATTTATATAGTTTGCATTGATGTAGTCTTCATTACCTTTTAAAAGGACCCGTGTAGCATCATCTAAAAAAAAGAAAATTTAAAAGAAACAATCTTTTTTTGTACTGATATTTGGAATTAAACCATCAAAGCTATACCACTAATAAACCACACTCTAGCCATAAAAATCTAATGAAGTTTTATTTAAAAGATTAAACTTATAATGGTAAGAGTTAATAGATACTTACAAGGTGAAATATCTCTGTATCTGTTTTTGGAAATGTTCTGAGGTAATTTGGCACAAGACATTGTCATTCCAGGTTTTTTCCGATACAATTGCTTTAAAAATAAACAAATAAACAGAAATAGTTTGATAAGCCATCAACAGTTCTGCTTTGTTTTGGCAGACTGGATTGTATTCCAACAGGCGCCCTCCACGCTCCATGCACACTATGATCCTCTTCAGAACAGTCACATGCTGACCCAGAGCTATAGTCAGCTCTGTAGTTTCTGACATGCAATATGCATCTATGATATTTAGAAAAGTCTGAAAACAATTTTGCTCACCAAAGTACCTGATATTTCAATAGCAAGTCTACAGAGAACCTTTGGCTTTATTTTAGTTTGGAAGTGTTCAAAAATACACTGAGACATTTTTAGAAAAGAATTGATACATATCTTAGCATGATTTATTATTATTATAAGCATTTATATACAACATATCTGTATATGACCATCAATATTTTAAAAACACATCGGGAAAATTCCTGGTTTTATTAAAGATAAACAAATCAAGTTCACTATGACAGAATATTGACATCTACAAATGTGTTGGACTCAATTTATAACTATCTTGGATGTATACAACCTGTGGGCCACAGGTTGGACATATCTGCTTCAAATATAGACTTTCAAATCTACTATATACTCACTAATGAAAATAAAGATTAGCAGTCATACAGGCAAAGGTGGTACACAGCTCTAATCTCAGGACTTGGGGGGAAGAGGCAGGTGAATCTCTGAGTTTGAGGCCAGCCTGGTCTACAGATTGAGTTCCAGAACAGCTAGGGCTACAAAGAGAATCCACTAGCACTACACAGAGAGACCCTGTCTTGGGGGGAAAAATTATCAATCAAGAAGCATTCTTGTTCATCTGAGATAATGATCTCAGAGATTTTAAGACTATACACACAAAAACACTAGAAAAAGATTAAATTAGAAAGTATGAATTTGAAATACAAGTTATGTTCTCTTTTTTTTTTTAAGATTTATTTTTTCTTTTATATATGTGAGTACACTGTAGGTATCTTCAGACACACCAGAAGAGGGCATCAGATCCCATTACAGATGGTTGTGAGCCACCATGTAGTTGCTGGATTTTGAACTCAGGACTTTGGAAGAGCAGTCAGTGTTCTTACCTGCTGAGCCATCTCTCCAGCCCACAAGTTATGTTCTTAACTTTTGTTTTTATTCTATTCTTTGTTTTATTCTTATTTTATTTATTTTATTTTTTGAGATGAGGTCTTTACTATATATAGCTCAGGATGGTTCCAAATTCTTAGAAAATTAAATGATGTGTACTGTCACATTTGGCTTTGCACAAGCTTTAAATTTATAAACAATTTTTTTTTTGCTTTTGTTTTTTGAGACAGGGTTTCTCTGTGTAGCCCTGGATGTCCTGGAACTCACTCTGTAGACCAGGCTGGCCTCGAACTCAGAAATCCACCTGCCTCTGCCTCCCAAGTGCTGGGATTAAAGGCATGTGCCACCACTGCCCTAAGCTTTAAATTTATAAGACAGCATTCTTATCTTGTATTTTTTTTTTATAAAAAGAGCTAGTAAATTACATGAGAAAAATATAAAATGTTTTTACTTTTACTATTTTTTTATTTTTTGAGAGGGGTCTTACTCTATAGCTTAGGCTGGCCAGGAATTCACTGTTCTGGACTTACTTTGAATTGAACAACATCTTCCTACCTAGCTTTTTTTATTCTTTTAAAAGGACACTTATTTAAACAGTCATAACTAGTATTGTAGGAATAATTTTTAAAAACTACATTTTAGAATTCTTCATGTTAGCAAATTCTAGGCTCATCATTTTATCTTATAAATCAGAATGCACAGTAGATTAGGCTCTAAACTAATTAGCAAATACTGATTTAATACAATGTTATCACTTACATCAAACTGTGCCAGTACTGTTCCAGTGATAAGCCCCTCAGCTAGTTCGATCATTGACTCCCGCAGGGAAGGGTCATCATGATGGACACCATCTAGTGGGGCTTTCTCAGGAATATACTGGAAGTCGGGCTCACTCTCTAGTTTTTCTTCCACAACATCATATATAGCTAAAATAAACAAACAAACAAACAAACAAACAAAAAACATAAAAAGAATCTTAAAAGAATTCAGTAAGAATTTGCCAGAAATTTTCTACAGATTCAGTAGCTAATAATTCCATTGTATCAGACAGATGCCTTTGTGTAGGAATCAAGAATGGCTGTGGGGTTGAAAGGCTTCTGCTATTCCTTTGGAGAAAAGAAGGGTTCTTTATCCATATGCTTAAAACTGAAGACACACTAAGAAAATGAGGCAGGACTACAGCAGTTAAGAGCACTTTCTGCTCTTGCAGAGGACGACCTAGGTCTAGTTACCAACATCCACCTGGCATTTCACAACCTCCTGTAATTCCAGTTCCAACAGACAGATGTTCTTCTCTGATATTCTTGGGATCCTGGGCTGATGGGGTAAACATAAACACACAAAGGAGTGTTCAAATGTGTGCGCATGAACATGCAGGCACAGACAGATAGACAGACAGACAGACAGACACAGACACACACACACAAACACAAACACACACAGAGTTAATAAATACTTACAAAAATAGAGAAAATGAGACATTTTTGACTGCAGATCTGAATAGACATGCCCTTAATTTCTAGGAAATGGATCAATAGCACAGACAAAAATCTATACACCATTATGTCTAAAGATATTCTGGCTTTGATCATATGATAAGTGAACACAAAGCTGAATAAATCAGTCCCATATTCTCTCATCCACCTAGTCACTAAGCATCTTTCATGTTCAAGTTAGTAAAGAGAGCTCAGATATCAGATGCTGGGCCTATAAATGCCAGGCCTATAACTTACCCTTACATAGTCACCCTTTCCGCTCCATTGTAAAGAAAAGTAGTCGTTATGTTTTACATGTATGGGCGTTTTGCATGAATGTGTGTATGTATACTAAGTGCATGACTTGGTACCTATGAGTGCCAGAAGAGGACATTAGATAACCTGGGACTAGAGTTACAGACCATTGTGATCACCATATCAAACTCTGGTCCTTTGTAAAAACATCAAGTGCTTCTAACTGCTGAGCTCTATGTAGCTCCTTAACTTTATTCTTTAACATGGACTCTATTAACTCATAAAGGAATAGTTTACCCATTTGTAAACATGTATATCCTCTGCAAATGATGGCCTCCTCCTCTTAGCAATCTTGCAGGTTTAGAAAACATCAAGTACCAGGAAAAAAAAAAAAAGATGTAACGAAATCCATACTGAAAATGAGTGGAGGTCTCTGTCTAGAATAATCCTTTATAGGGCCCTAGCTGAGTTCCTCCTGGGTTTTAAAATATAAAAGAAACAACTTTGCTATCAAAGAGACTATTGTTTATTTTCTGACTCTGTGCCCATCATGAATCTATAAACAGGAAATAGAGTATTTGAAAGTATTTTTAACTCTAAACTGAGAGTAAGGTACCTATCATGTTTGGTGGCTCTGAAGATTAAATAAAAACATACACAGCAGCTTAGGTACAAAGAAAATTCCAACAGCTACTGGCTGTTGTTATTGAGCACCACAGGAGCTATTATCAGGAGAGGACAGAAAAGCCAAACTGAGAGATTGCTGTTGGTATAAAATTGAAGCTGTGACACAAAATAGACAGGATGAAGCCTAAACAAACAAGTTCCTCAAGATCAAAATTAATGTCTGTTAGTGCCTGCTTAATATTCTTAGAAAGCCAATTTTAGGATTATACATGGATAATAACATAAAATACAGAAAAGAAGATGCCTGCTTTGACTAAATATAAAAAGGGAAATTTTCTTTTCTCTAAACATCATCTCACTGAGACATCCTCATTGATGAATACAATGACTCTGAATCACAGCTTGGACTCTCCTGTTGTGTTCCTTCTGTAATAAAGACATCCTTCTACATTCATGCTTTTAAGATATAAGACTCTGTATAAGTACACATATACCTGGGAACAGTGTTATGATGAATATAAATGGAGATAATGCTAGTAGTATGTGTCACGATAAGAACTCAACATGATGAGTCAAGAGGGCACCACCTACCCAAAATATAGTTAACCGCAGTTTTCTTTGTTTAATTAGAGTCTGTTATGGAATTTTCTAGAAGTAGAACAGAGATTTATTTATTCATTAAACAAGTATTCACTGACTGTACTACTCTTAGAGTAGTTGAAGAGGGAGGCCACTATAGGTATGGTAGAATAAAACATTTCTGAATGAAGGAAAAACACGAGTTACATAAAAACCAAGAATTGTTTGCAGAGCAGAGGAAATACAAGTCCACAGACCCAAAAGTATGTCAGGTTGAAGCTTTGGGGAAACAGTAAGAACTGCACTGTGCATCAGAGGTGAATGGAAGTATGAATGGGAGACAAGAAAGCCAAGAATTTGGATTTTTTTTTCTCCAAGTATGATAGATACTACTGTCATTTGAAGAGGAAACTGATGTGCCATATTTATAGACATCTACTCTGGCTACTATGTCCAGTAGTAAATAGCAAATTATGACAAATACTCAGTGCTAAATAGAGTACTTACCATTAGGTCGAACTAGGAGCACGAGTTCCCCAGAATGTTTCTCACAGCTAGCTTTAATAAACAAGACTACTTGATCATGGGTATGTTCTGCAATGTCCCGACCATTTATTAGTACCACTTGGTCCCCTTCATTCAATCGAGGGACACAAAGGTCAGCCTGTAATAATGTAGATAAGTGTTCAAATATGCACCCGGCATCCTGAAAATATAAAACTTACTTTTTATAGATTATAGAAAGAGAACTAAAATTACATATAGGAAAGCATCCATGCAAGGATAGGAAGATGGCTCAGTCAGTAAAATGCTTGCTAGACAAGCTTAAGGGCCTGACTTCCAATCCCCAGAAAGCACATAAAAGTCCAGTGATGCAATGTGGTCCTGTAATTCCAGTACTGGGAAGACTGAGCAGAAGAATCCTTGGAACTTGATGCTAGCCAATATAGCAAATCAGGGAGTGCCATGTTCAGTGAGGGTTACCATCTCAAAAAGTAAAGTAATAAGGTAGAGAGTGGCTGAGGAAGTCATCAGCCTCTGGTTTACAAACACACACACACACACACACACACACACACACACACACACACAAACACTCTCATTTACTTAAAAAGCAGAAAGCTAGTTTTCTTTTCAACATCCTATTTTATTTTACAGCTTCATTGAACATTCAAATTCCTTCCTCATGGCCTACTATGTCCATTAGAGATTCAGATAAGAAATATGTCAAAATGCATATATACATACACACTGTCTTAATTTTTGTACTGTTTAAATATATACAATTTCAGTTCCCATAGCTTAAAGAACATCAGTTTCTGAATTACATCCTCCAAATGTTAGTTTTCAGAATACACTGTGTCTTATTGCATAAAGTATACATTTGCTGCTAGTGCTTCAGTCCAAAATTCTGTATCTCAAAATGTAGTACTGCAGCTGGAGAGATGCCTCAGTGGTTAAGAGTACTGGGTGCTCTTCCAAATACCCTAGGTTCACTTTCCAGCACCCATATAGGGCTAAAAAATTCCTCTGTAACTCCAGTTCTAAGAGAGAATCAGATGTCCTCTTCTGACCTCCACAGGTATTGCATACATATAGTGTAAAATAAGCATTCAGGAAAAAAAAATATAAAAATATAAAACACACAATATATAAGTAAATAATAAAAACAACAAAAATAAAAATTAATCTAAAAAATACCTTAAAAAAGCAAGGAGGCACAGATCACACTTGTCAAAGAATATCCATCAATCAGTGTATGACCAAGAAGCAAAGCATGTGCTTATCCTTGGCTCACAGTGGGAAATCATCTCAAAGAGGAACTACCCAGCAAAGATATAAATGAAAGTTCAGGAAAGAAGCAAAGCATGATGGCACCCCCAGACGTGAACTTTGACCTCAGAGTCAGTGATGAGTGAAGTGAGAGCACTTCTGTTGTCTGAGGCTCTAGGTAAGTATAAGTAGTCAAAGGGACTTGAGGTTTTTTTCACAATACACCACCAAGGCTTCAAAAGGGCAAAACATTGAAAGCAGATTCAAATGTGGAGAAGATCATGGAAATCTGCTAATTTAAGAGGCTCATTCTGTATCATCAGTTTTATAACGTACTATTCAAACTACTTGTGATAAAGTTTTATAAATGATGTTTTGGGCTACTGAACACATATTTTGCATTTCTCAATATTTTTGTAACACACACCACAAAAGACTTTAACATACAGAAAATAGATCTAAAAGCTGTAAAAGCAGTATAATTTTTCCAGTTGGTTAACAGCTCATGGCATGATTTCACCTTGCATGGCCATCTTTAAAGTACAGCACTACTGCAATAAGGACTGCCTGAAGAACTGGAGTTACACACAGCTTTGAGCTACCACCATGTGGGTTCTAAGAACTGAACAAAGGTTCTCTAGAAGAACAACCAGTGTTCTTAACTGCCAATCAATCTCAATGATTTTTCTTTTAATTACAGATTCTTGGGATAAAGAAATGGTTCAGTGGTTAAGAGCACTGGTTGCTCTTGCTCCAGTACTAAGGAATACAATGCCATCTTCCAGCCTCCTCAGGCAATAGGCACACATGTAGTATACATACATACATACATACATACATACATACATACATACATACATAAGGAAGGCAAAATAATATATGTCAAACTAATGTTTTTAAGTATTTATGGGGTTGGAGAGATGGTTTGGCAGTTAAGAGAACTTACGTTCTTGTAGAGGACCCAAGTTTGATTCTCAGGAGCCACTCAATGGCTCACAACTGTCCAAACCTTGAATCCTATGGGGATGCAACACTGCATTTTGACCTCTGAGGGTCACACACAGTGCACAGACATACATGCAAACAAGACATTCATACTCAAAAGAACATTTTTACAAAGTATATATTAGTTTTTAGGGTTTTTTTGTTGTTGTTGTTGCTGTTTGTTTGTAGCTCTACTTGGTCTAGAACTCTCTTTGAAGACCAGGGTAGGCTTGAACTCAGTAATCTGCCTGCTTCTGCCTCCTAAGTGCTGAGATTAAAGGCAGGTAACCATCACACGTGATCCTTAAGTATATATTCTTAGAAACAGTATTTAGATAAAATTTGGAATAACTTACAGGTGTTCCTGGTGCTACCCGGGACACAATTACAGGCATCTTCTGATCATATCCTCCCTGGGAAATAAAAAAATAAAAAGTCAAATATTACCAAACTAAGAACATCTTAATATAAAAACTAAATATGAGATATATTCTGGATTACCTTTACATTGAATCCAAACCTTCCATTTTCATCAGGTTTCATTTTGATTAGAACAAGGTTATCATGTGGAATGCCACCATTGGGCTTGAAAAGACAAAAATAAATTTCAGAATATAAATGAATTATAATTTATCTGCTTGTATGAACTATGGTATATAAAAAAATAAAATCCTATGCAAATGTTAGTTGTGAGGAAAGTAATCTCTTTGCCTAATAACTTGTATACCCATTCTCTCATTCCTCTTCCCACTCTGGAAGAACACTGGCAAAGGGGAATTTGCCATCCCCTTTCCTCTAACTCTGTATCATACCAGTCAGTTTTCACTCCCACCATTCCATAACTAAATTAATGACAACAAATATTTTCTTATGACTAAATCCAGTATTATGTCTCAATTTTGGTCCTAACTTGACGTACTGTAGCAGTGGACAAAGTGTTCCCTTTCAATTGGGCTCCTTCATTATATGTTGTTGCCTACTTTTCCTGCTACCTCTGCTGCATACTCTCAGGCTCCCTTCATCTCCCTGATTCTTATAATTTGGTGAGGGCTCAGTTTCTAGAGCCTTTATTTAGATTACTACATACATTTCTTGATGATTCTCTATATTGTGTTTTTAAAAATATATACCCACTACTATGAAAATACAAGTACAGTAACCATAAATATATCTAGGTATGCAAGAAGAGACACATAAATACCATCACAGAGTTAGTACTAAATTTGCAATTTTTGGCAAGAATTCTGATCTCTTTTGATTAAACCTATTGTAGTGAAACAGTACACATAAGAAAATAGAATGCTTTCAATTTTTGGTAAGGGGAGAAACTGAGTGAAAAAATGAAAAGGCAGGGAGTACAGTAATCATTAGAGACTTTGACAGTAGATGCTGATGCATCTTATAAACTTTCCCTTTGCATCTTATTTCATTTCCTAATATTCCTTTACATTTGCTGAAACATATCTGCATGTGACTGTGCTTGCATTTTTTGGAACACAGTGTATTCTTAAGATAAATTGATAACCTCACTTGTGGCTTATTTAAATCTTAAGAAAGCAATAAACTTGATAAGTCATTAGACTTTTAACAATTCATCATTTTATTATATAAAGCATATTCTATATAAGCAAAAGATATAAATTATTTTGTAAAATATAGGCTGGACATACAGTATTAGAATCTGTACTCGATTTCAAAGGTTAGGGAATATCTCTACACTAAGAAATTACATAGTCAATTAAGTATTTACTGAATTATTAGCACTTGATCTAGAAACATGTTTATTTTGTATACTAAATTTACACCAACCTGCTAAAAGACATTAACTCTTAAAGCAATGGGCACTTTACAAATGAAGAAAAAGGTAACACCAAAATGGTATAAATCATGGTTAAAGAATCAGAAGAAAAAGACTATTATAATTCACTACTGAAACATGGTATGGTTGAATAGAAATTAAAGTGCATTCAGAATTTTAAAAATTTTAACCAAAACTACTTACAGTGGACTTTTCAGGGGAAGAGGGCACATCAAAGGATTCATTAGTATGGTTGGCTAGATCTTGCTGAGAATGTGAAAAATGAGCTTGGTTCCAACTATTTTTCTTAGATTGTTTGGGTGGTAAAGCTGGAGGCTGCCCATCTTCAGGGGTCTCTTGTGATCTAGGTAAGGAAAGAAGAAAGAGGTGAGAAGTAAATATTTTGAGAAATCATCTGATGGAAATACCTTATTCTAAATTAGGTAAAACAACTAGAGACCAACTATGTCTAATGTGTAGAGACTTTATATTTACTTGGAAAGGCTTTTAATAAAAAATTTTATCTTTAAAGTAGTAAATCTGGTTTTTAAAACTCAAATCAACAGTTATAGAATACCTTAAAGATACTCCTATGAAGATATTTCTTAATTTGCTATAAGCTGAAGAGCAGCTTTCATGGTACAAGACAGCCCCATGCAAGCTTCCAAAGGAAGAAGACAACCAACAGTCCTACCTAGCTATAGCGCCTATGAACCATAATTACCAGCAAGGCACCACAACTGTAAGGTACACGGTGGCACACATACCTTAGTGGTAACCAACAGCTCTATAATTGGACTTCAGATCTACTCAACAAGAAAAAAATCATAACTGGTACTAGAAACCTAGGACAGAGAACTCATGGATCTTGGAGAAGAACCTACAACCACTACTATAGTAAACTAGCACAATTCTTAACGACATTCTAAATATGTGTCCTTATACTAAAGTGTCCTTATACTAACAGGTAAGTGTAGTCTTCACCCATCATCAAGGAACTCTTTTCAACAGATGAAGACTATTACAGAAAACTTAACCAATCAAAATACAAAGTTGTGGAACCCAACCCCAAAAGATACATCTACATAATAAATTCCTGCACATAAGGCTCAGGGAACATTGGAGAAGAGGGGGGTGGGAAGAGTCAGAGAGGATCAGAGTGTTTCCTGTGAGACTGTAACTCCTAGTAATACCAGAAACCAAACACAAAGTCTCACAAACATGTCTACCTACACAGGAGGTGAACAAGGACAACAACAGACATCCAAAGTAGATGGAGGAAAGCTTGCAAGGCCTGAACTTTTAAAAAATCATTTTAATGGTTCTTTGTGAATCACACATACACCTCAATTTTGTTTGGTTTGGTTTTTAACTTTACAAGGCTTGAACTTTACACAAAAAACTACAGATAACTAAGTCAAGTCAAGAGTGGAAGAAATACTCTTCCAAAGAATAGCATATCAATTAGTTACCCAATAACAAATGAAAAAGCAAAACTCTCAGAACTGGGTGTTGACAGAAAAAAAATCCCACCTGGTAGGGATAGTCTAATGAGCTTAAATAATTGCCCTCCTTTACCATGGTTAATGAGATTAATAAATAAAAGCATGTGACAGAGAATAGAATACTGAAATAATCACTGCAGAGACAAAACTACATGGAATCCTGCCAGGTGCTAAGGTGAGAAAACAACAATTTACAAGTATTAAAAAGCATAACCCTTTAATTTGTGGCAACGGGAATTGATAGCTAAGTATTCAGGAGGGATTTCAAGGTAGAAATTGTAACTTTTAAAAACAGTCTATTTCCACAAAGGCCAGAAGAAAGAACCAGTGGTTCAACTCCTATCCTACTGTGCCGGTATCCATGAAAATGATCTTGGTAGTGTGACTTAATGGCTTCACAAGAAAGTTTCTGCTAAGAAAAAAGTCATGACAGTCTGCCTTTGGCCAGGGCAGATCATCAACATCTCTGTCCCTCTTAAGACCCCACAGTCTGAAGGCCTCCCAGGAAATCTGATGCACTCAGGGCAAAGGTAAGGGACCCTCCCAAGTAACCTCAGGAGCTTGGAACTCCCAGGAGCCCAGAGGACTCAGGACTAATCCCCTCTGCTCAAACTCCCCCTCCCTTCCAGCCTGTTCCTTGCTCCAGGGTAGATCATCAACATATCTGTCCCTCTGAAGACTCCATAGTCTGAAGGCCTCCCAAGAGATCTCCTACAGCCCATCCGGGACCACAGGTCTCACAGGAGACCTGGAGTGACTCAGGAACACAGGAGGCAGGCTCCAGACAGACTGGATAAACAAGCAGGATCCAGCATTTTACTGCATACAAGAAACACACCTCAATGACAAAGACACTACCTCAGAGTAAAAGGATAGAAAAAAAGTCTTCCAAACAAATGGTCCCAAGAAATAAGCGGGAGTTGCCATTCTAATACCCAATAAAATGGACTTTCCACCCAAAGTCATCAAGATGAGATGGGGAAGGACATGACATACTCATTAAAAAAAAAAAAGAAGAAGAAAAAAAAAAAAAAAAAAAAAAAAAAAGAAGAAAAAGAAGAAGAAAAAGAAGAAGAAGAAAAGAAAAAAACCCACCAAGAGAAAGTCTCAATTCTGAATATCTATGCTCCAAACACAAGGGCACTCACATTCATAAAAGAAACTTACTAAAGCTCAAAACACACATTGAACCCCACACAATAATAGTGGGAGACTTCAACATCCCATTCTCACCAATGGAAAGGCCATTGAAACAGAAAGTAAACAGAGACACAGTAAAACTAATAGAGGTTATGGAATCAAATGGATTTAACAGATATATTCAGAACATTTCACTCTAAAACAAAAGAATATGCCTTCTTCTCAGCACCTCATGGTACCTTCTCCAAAAGTGAACATATCACAAAAGTGACCAGTCACAAAACAAGGCTCAACAGATACAAGAAGACAGACATAATCACATGCACCCTATCAGATCACCACAGACTAAGGCTAGATAGACTTCAATAACAACAACAACAACAAAACCCCAGAAAACCCACATACCCATGGAAACTGAACAACTCTCTACTCAATGATAACTTGGTCAGAGAAGAAATAAAGAAATTAAAGACTCCTGGAATTCAATGAAAATGATGACATAGCATACCCAAACTTATGGGACACAAGGAAAGAAGTACTAAGAGGAAAATTCAGAGCACTACGTGGCCTCATAAAGAAATTGGAGAGATCCTACACTAACAACTTAAGACCTTTGGTGAAATGCCAAACAGTGGGGTGAGGGAACTTGTAGAGTCCACCTCCAGTACAAAGACAAGTAGAGGGATGGGGTTGCCATCCCACAGTCAAAAACTTGGACCCAGAATTGTTCCTGTCTAAAAGAACTGCAGGGATAAAAATGAAGATGAGACTGAAAGAAAGGTGGTCCAGTTACCGACCCTTGGGATCCAGTTCAAGGAGAGGCTCCAAGGCCTGACATTATTACTGCTGCTATGGTATGCTTATAGAAAAGAGCCTAGCATGGCTGTCCTCTGAGAGGCCCTATCAGCAGCTGACTGAAATGGAAGCAGATACTTACACCCAACCAATAGACTAAGGTGGGGACCCCAGTGGTTGAATTAGGGAAAGGCTGGAAGAAGCTGAGGAGGAGGGTGGCCCCATAGGAAGACTAGCAGTCTCAACTAACCTGGACTCCTGAGATCTCTCACATATTAAGCTGCCAACCAGGCAGCATACAGGAGCTGGTCTAAGGCCCCTGACACATATACAGCAGAGGACTGTCTTGTCTGACCTCAGTGGAAGAAGATGTGCCTAACCCTTGGGAGACTTAAGGACCCAGGAAGTAGGGAGGCCTTTGGGGGTGGGGACATCCTCTTGGAGACAGGGGAGGAGGAATGGGATGAGGAACTGTGGGAGGAAGGACTGAGAGGGGGGCAATAACTGCATTGTAAAAAAATAAAAGTAATTAAGAAAAAAGAAAATACAAGTAATAGTCCTCTAGCAATAAATAAGTAAAAGGCATTCTCCTACTATTACTTATCATAACAAAAGTAAACAGGGAGCCAAACATGGAGATGCATACTGGGAATGTCAATACTCAGGGAGACAGAGGCTGGAAGATCGTAAATTCAAATCTATCCTTGGCTACACAGTGAGTTCAAAGCAGCTTAGGCTACATAGGATCCTGTCTTAAAAACAAACAAACAAACCAGCAATAACAATAACAAAAAAGCGAGTTGGGAGAGAAAAGAAAGACAGAAAATGAGTATTTCCAGTAAAATAACAAAATAAAGCTGGGTGGTGGTGGCGCACGACTTTAATCCCAGCACTTGGGAGGCAGAGGCAAGGGGATTTCTGAGTTCGAGGCCAGCCTGGTCTACAGAGTGAGTTCCAGGACAGCCAGGGCTATACAGAGAAACCTTGTCTTGAAAAACCAAAAATAACAAAATAAAGTTATAATGCAAACACTAAAAAAAAAAAAAACACTAGGGGAATAAATAAGGAGTTGAATAATGATCTATAGATCATTTTTTAATTTTTATTACATTTATTTATTTTTGTGTAAATGTTTGCACATGTGTTTCTAGGTCACAGCACATGTGTAGTTAAGTGGACAGTTGATGGACTCACTTCTCTCCTTCTAAACTGTGTAGTACGTGAGTTCCAAATTCATATTGTTAGTTTTGTTGACAATATCTTATATCCACTGACCCATGTGTCTTGCTCAAGTTCTTTTATTTTGAGTGGAGAGAAAATGAAAAGAACTTAGCGATATACTTATGATTAACTGTATATTCTATATAGTTTAGTCAATAAGGCTTGTTTTTAAAATCATGGTCTGCATCAATATAAGCTTCAAATTTAAATTACTACCCATTAAAGGTTTTATAGTGATTTTACAGCAATAAATCACTGCAGACAAGTTGAGGCTGTTCAGTTTTCAAAATGAGACATTTATAACGGTCCTGACTGTGGCAGACTCTCCCCAGCATCTGTGTAAAAAGAATGGACAAAGTCCCTCAATCAGTGTAGAGTAAAAAGTAAAAATGAAAATCTGTTATTTTTTTTAACTCTTGAAGAAAGAAAGAAAGAAAGAAAGAAAGAAAGAAAGAAAGAAAGAAAGAAAGAGGAAGGAAGGAAGGAAGGAAGGAAGGGAGGAAGGAAGGAGAGAAAGAAAGGAAGAAAGAATGAGAGAAAATAAAGAAAGAAAGGAAGAAAGGAAGGAAGGAAGGAAGGAAGGAAGGAAGGAAGGAAGGAAAGGAGGAAGGGAGGAAGGGAGGAAGGGAGGAAGGGAGGAAGGGAGGAAGGGAGGAAGGGAGGAAGGGAGGAAGGGAGGAAGGAAGGGAGGTCATGACATTTT